ATATTCGCTATTAATACGTAAAACCATACGTGGAAGCAAATAGTATATAGTTTCGAAGAAAATTAGGAATTTGATGCATGCATAAAATTGGAACAACGCATGTACACTTGTGCTAAAGCAAATGTTTTAACTGAACCATCTTTTAGCTCCTGACACTTTGTGTGAAATGGTCCAAGAAGACTTTTTAATTGTTATTATTTATTTCATACCTATTAGACTTGGTATAAATTTATATACATTAGCAGTAGAATATAGGCTTGTCGTTTTCTGAACTTGCAATAAAGTTCTTTCAGCTTCTTTTTGGTTACTACTATCAATACTCTCTAAAGTCTGTTGTTTATTACAATGAAATATTAGTACCTGTATTGATAAAAAGATACGTTTGCAATATAGTACCTATTATACTTGTTTGTTTTTCTTATTTACTATTCTTTTAAATACATATAATTTGGGTTTTTAAAGTGTAGGAGAAAAAATCGACCGATCGTTATTGCTGGACCTGCAGGCCTTCCACATTGAATTATCCAACCGATCGACGACTCTAATTCTCCTAGTCAATATAGACATTGAAATACCAGCCAATTCCATATTAAAATCATCATTGGTAAATTTATACACACGATTGATATTTTTTATACACATAAAAATAAAATACCTTTTACTTCATACTTTGTCATAATACGCATTTTAATTGCTTATATTCGATCAACGAATAACTGCATACAATTTATATTGTACGTGTATACGTATTACTAATGTCATGTAGTTACTGTCCTCACTTGGTAATTACAAAACATATTGCTCAGATTATTTAAGATATTCAGATGAACGATGTACACTGAATTAACAGTTTANATATACAAAAATCGTATCTTTGCAACATGTGTCATAATTTGACATTTGGAAGTTTTTCAGTTTCATGCAAATCTTTTGTGGCCTAGCAAGTTTACATTTAAATGTTTTATGTATACAGATTTAAGTAACCTTAAGCATATATATATGGGCATAGGTACACTCGTGTACATGTATAAATACATACGCAATATTACTGAAAACTATAAAAACCACAAGATCATAATTCTACGTAATTAATTAATAAGATTCATATTATATGTATCTACAATACATATGAATTTTATTAATGTGTTGTATACAGAACAATAAATTAATTTTGACATATTGTTATAATGGCAATAAAACAGGAGGCAATCATTATCATTGTAAAGATGATTGTTCCAACATGATTAGCTATTGTCGCATCTGACTGTATCACAATTTGTGCTCCAAAGGAGACAATTACCAATGCCGCTGTAACAAATTAGGAAAACAGCGACGAGAAATACTAAACTACAAACGGTGCATGGTTTACGTTCTAGGAAGAATCCAATTAGATAAAGTGCCATGAACATGACATGCGTTTGTAATAGTGCTGGATTTACTGGTTTCGGTATCAGCAGCACTGGAATCAACCACTGTAGGCAATACATCCTCTCTCTTTTGTAGCCAGAGTTGTATTCTCAGCACTGTCAAACTGACTCTCTCTCATCTATGACAAAATTTCTGAAACAAAGTATGAGTATATAGAATAAATTAATCTCTCTTCGGTTTATTCGTAAATTCACTTTTTACGTCGATACACGGCTATCTCGTACCTTATTTGGAAGCACCATAATGTTCTGGAAACATCTCGTCCTTCAAAATTGGAATAATTTAGGTGTATACGTACTCATGCTAATGCTACAAATATTTCAACTCGGAATTTTTCCAAACATGAGGTTACACTTGCATACATACATACACGCATCCGCAGACCACAGAAACAGATGGCATGCAAATGTAAATTATACTGACTCATGAAAACCACGCTTAGGTTTTCTCGGAAAAATAAATTATTTTACGTATGTAACTTTTTAATTCGTCTATATAC